AATTGAAAACTGCTATGGTATAAAAAAAAAAAAAAAAAAAAAAAAAAATGCACACGGACGGCACTTAAAGAAAATGATTATCTACAAATAATCACAACGTTAAGTTATAACTTGGTGAACATCACATCAACGATGAATTCAACAATAATCAACCGTGCGTAACACTGTAATGGTTATATGTAAAAAGAACGTATAAAAGTCAACAGCCTAGACAGTGGTTGGGCATATGGCGAGCAAAACAAGAAGTCAAGAATAGATTTCCAGTATCTCCATTTTGCCAAGAAATATCATAGCTAAGTTTTTTTCTTTTTTGTGAAGTACACTTTTTCTGTTTCAAATTTTGTTTTGATATAAAAAAGTAAAGAAGGGAATTCAATTGAAGAACTTGAAGCTTGGTTCAGGGAATCCGTTTTATTTTTTTCACCAATCTAGCGTTTCATATAATTTTTATTATACTGTATATGCATAGAAAAATATGGCGCACATCTTTCTTCTCATCTCTACAAACAAAGACAGAATTTCTCTAACATATCATTACCAACTTTCTCAATTAAAAAATTCTAAATATTTCTACTACATGTAGGTTGAAACCACTGTATTTTCGCAGACTATGTACGAGGCCTAGTGGTTCGTCATAGGCCTAGGTTTTTCTAGTAGCTCACACCTTCATTCGTATTTTGTAGCATCGTAATTCTGTTCTATTAGTACGGGTATAGATCAAGGGCAGTGTGTCCGCACCCGACCCCTTTCCGAATGGCGGGCGGCAGCCAAACGGGAGATTTTCTGAGCATATGACGTTCAGTCATGCACGGCATTCCCATTGTTTCATTACAAAGAACAAATGACCCTTATTTGTCTGTAGATGCCCGTCACACCCTAAATTGGAGTTCGAAGATGCCATCACATCATTTTTTCGTAAATGATTATTCAAAGATGACTTAAAGCCAGGTTCAGTCATACCTGGGGGTAATAGTCTTGTTTGTAATACCCTCTAGCGTGTCCGCTGGTGCCAAAGTGTTACACCCTCTAAGGGTCCATTCCCAATAAATGCATCGTTCTACGTAGATCGATCCAACCCCTCGGGGACTCTCGCTCAATGCAATCAGATTAAAAGATTAACTGGCCACCTCCTAGCGTTGAGTAGAATACAAAAAAGATGGCGATTATACGAGTACGTTGGGAGCAAGAGAAGGCGTTCCATTCAATAATTCTGATTGTATTCAGCGAGAGTCACCGCCGAGTTGGATTGAACTACGAAGGACGATAGTTTCATTGGGAATGATATTCTCAGATCGGACTCGAATCCAACAATTTTAAAGGGAGATTCTTTTTTTGCCCTCTTTTTTTACCCCTTTCAAAAATGGCAGAGAGCCTAGGTCATTTGTTTAAATATTGATCAGAACTTTTTGCGACCAATAGAACGGTTCTTTCTAGCCCCCCCCCC